TTGGTCACATCCTCTGACTTGCGCATCCACAACGGTTTGTTCTTGTTAAGCTGCTCCCACTCATGGGACACCTCCTTCACCTGCAATGAAGAGCAAACAACACTGGCGAATAGCACTTATTTCCTTTCCATTTATGATCATTTATAAATGATTATGATGAATAAAAACCTTCCATATGGTAACGCCAAAATCTTTGACTTATAAAAATAGAAAAGTGAAAAATCAAAATTGCGAAACAAAATACGTGCCTTTTCACACGAACTTGAGCCTTGATGTTCGGTACACTTGTCCATTTGTGCGTGTCATGTCTGGGTGACTGGTTCACTTCTAGAATCTGTCACGGCCTCTTCGCCCAAACATTTCACGCACATTTCCAAGCTTTCTGCGCTCGAAAAGTGCGGGCAGGCTTCTGCAAAATGGATCTTCTTGCCGCGCTTGCAAACTCTATACATGAGGGTTTTCCTCATCAACTTCAACCCATGTTCTGAAGCTAGGCGGGCTTCTTCGAAGGCCATGTTTCTTTGTTCCCGTATCTCGTGGATCGATTGTTCCAGCTCTTCGATGTAAGTCTCGAGCTGGAAGATCTTGTCTTGCATTTCAATGCTTTCTTCCTCATAGCGTTTCAAAGCCATGAGGTCTACCCAGGAACTTGTCAAGCCTCTCTTCATCAGTGAACATGTAGTTCTTGAACTTCCTAATCACTATCTCGAAGATGGGCATGATGTAGCCCGAAGCCAGGTAGATCACCTCCTGGATCACGAACCGCCGCAGCCACTCTGCTAGGCCCAACGCTCCACAAACGGCGCAAAGCCAAAAGACCAACCATTGTCATCCATGGTCATCCTCAATCTCGGCCTCTACGGAGATCTTGCTGCCTGCGGCTTGGTCCATGCTGGCCATCATCAGCAGCAATCCCACATGTAGATCTTGGCTCCTCATCACCTTCTTCAGCCCTTTCTTCATTTGCTCCCTGTGTTCAAGCTCTCTGTACTCTTCTTCACCGACCCTGTTGCCACCATGCTGCACCGTCTTCAAGCTCAGTTGGAATAGGTCACTCAGGGTCTTGTCCTTCTCTTCTGTTGCACCCAGAGCAATGATGCATCTAAGTGGCGGACTCGTCCAATGCCCTGTCTCTGCATCATTGACCGTGCAGCTGAGCTGTCCGAGCGCACCTTCATCTCACACTTCTCCTCAGTCATGTTCTCCCAATGGTGCTTGATGAGCACTGAGCAGTCCATCTGAGGATCATGCAACCGCGGCAACGAACTCTGATTCCCCCGATGAGAGGGATACTGTCTTCTGTGCTCTGACTCTTGACTCCATGAGGTTGCCGTCTATGAACACTTGGAATGAAGTGGTACTTCTGCGATCGTTTCTGTTTCCTGCGCAGTCTGCGTCCGATTCCCCTTTAGCCCTTGCTGACAGTCTCTCTCCATAGCCCTCTGTGTAGGGATGAGCGCACGCGCCATGCTTTGTTCCATGACTGCTTCATGACATAAAGCGAGCCAAGCTTTGGGTTGCAAATTGCGCGTCTGGACGTTCACTTGAGAATTACAGCCGTGACGTCATCGCAGTATGAATCAAAATGCGGCGCTGAGGGCCGGTACGCTCTTGAACGACTTTGGCGAAAAGACACTCTTCAACTCGATGCAACGGCGCATGCGGTGAGCGCAAATGTGCAGTTTCAGGGCACGACCACACAAGGTGAACTCTGCTAGGCTTGTAAAGACCACAGCGACAATTCCAACGCAGATCCCCCGGATCAAAAGAGCTGCTACCAGGGAATTTGTACCAAACACTGCACCCAGAAGCCATAGCAGCATGTTTGAGGTATTTGGATCCATCCGAAGCCCAAGCGACACGAGCAAACAAGCAAAACCCTGTCTCAGGGGGGCCGGAAGGTCCAAGCCCGTTGCACACTGAGGGTCATCAAGGTGGAATTTCTGGCGAATGCGCGCGCACTGCCGAAGTTCCCGTTCACGGTGAAAGTCGCAAAGCCACTCGTGGAGAATAGAAGGCGAATCATGACCAACTTTGAAACGGCGAACGCTGCCATAAGTATCAGCACGATAAATGTAGCGGCCGCAGTCATCAGCCCACCATTCCAGCTTCTCTAAGACCGGCTGAATGGTAGGGAACAGTTGTGGCCACGCCACCTCATGCAGCGCTGGATCCGTCATGCGAGTATCAAGGGGACGACAATGAAAGCGACAGCCAGCAAGTAAAGTAGCCCACTGCGATGCAAAATCAGGACAAGTGTTCCAGCCCAAGATTTCTTTGAGGACGCAAAAAGGAGTGTCCTTTAACAGCCGACGGTCAAAAACCGTTTTGAACTCTTCCTGCAAAGTACGCAACTCATGGTCAGGTAAAAGAGCAAACCCGGCCGCCCAACAAAAGGAGGGAAGAACAAGTCGACGAATATGGAAGATCTTTGAAAGACCCAGCGACCGCCTTCACATAGCGCAATCGAAATTGTGCTTTAGCAAGGTCAAACTTCAGCAAAGAAGTACTTGAAGAAGCCAGATCATAGTGTAAGCCCAGAATATCCAACCCCTGCCCATGTTTGTAGCCCAGCAGCGGAGCCACTTGAAGGCCGGCTGCCAGCTCAGGTGGGTAGGCCAGCTGGCACTTTTCTGCTGACCAGAAGAAACCAAAAAGGGTATCAAACTCATCACTTCGACTTTTGGCCAGGATCGCAGCGTTTGGACAACTGCACCAAAAGCAGCGGTCGTCAATGTAAGCAACACAGTCAACAACGCTACAAGCAACATGAGAGGTCCAGAAGGTCATCACAGCTGCCGCTAACATCGGAGAGAATGGGCAGCCTTGTAAGAGGCCTCTGTCCACCCTGTGCCAGGAGTCACCAAAAATACCACGTGAAATGAAAATACGCTGATTGCCTGCGTAAAAATGCTTCACCAATTGTGCAAAGGCCGGAGGAGCGCCCAAATGTCCAAGTACCAGCAAGTGAGGGCGCGCAATAGTATCAAAGAAGTTCGAAGTCCTGACCAATGAACATGAGCGAATAATCGCGCATAGCCTGCACCAAACGAGCATGAGCACTCTGCACAGAACCTTTCGGAACCCCCCCCAACACATCTGAAGTCCACCCAAGTGGCCAGCCAGTGTTCAAGCTCTCTGGTGATATAACGCGCACCAATGCGCCATGACACACTAAGAATGCTCAAAGGGCGGGAACTCCCATTGGCCTTGGGCAGCAGACAAACACGAGCCTCCAACCAGCGACAGGGAATGGCGCCAGATTTGTAAACTGAAGTACACAACAAAGCAAATGCTTCCCACCACACTTCAGGTAGTCGCCAGAGGTCACCTGCCGACCAAGCATCAGGGCCCGACGCTTTGCAAGCCATCTCCTTACAAATGCTTCGAAGAGTCTTGCCACAAAAGTGAACGTCAAGGGAAGACACCGGCCGCTGATCCCGGTCGTTCAAGAAGCACTTCAGAGCTGCCACATGCTTTGCCTGTAGTAACGCGGGTGGGCACTTCCAACGGGGCAACCAGTCTTGTTCAGCTTTCGCAACAATCTGAACCGGATGTGCACTGCATGCTGCAAGTGGGACGAAGGGCTCGCCGTCAAGGCACAAAGTTTCTCGGCTTTACGTCGAATCCAGGAACTTTGACGCAACCACACGCAGTTCATGCTCAACCGTGAAGTAGCCAATCTCGTTTAATGCAGGAAAAGAACCATGCAAAGCACTGATATCTTGAAAGATCTTTTCCCGCAAGCGATCTTCATCTGGGGTTTTCGAAAGTTGCAAAATTCGCCTTCTCAACTTACGAAGCTGCACAACTTTCGGGGAATCCCCTAAAGGAGCACGTTTGGGACGGAGACATCGTTTTCGCGGCTTCCAAGCATGGGCCCGACTCAACCCAGAATGATGGCCCTCAAACAAAGAAAGTTCAGCAACAGAAGAAAGTAATGCCCAAGCACTGTCGACATTCCCTGCCTGAATAGCTTGTTCGAGAGACTCCCGTGACCGCTGCCGCCTAGAACACTCAGCGACCACGTGAGGAGGACGAGGGACATGTGCCCGCATGGAGCCTAAACCAGCTAAGAAAGCGCAGTTCAAGTCAAGTTTATATCTAACCGCCAAATGGTCACCCACGCCTTGACAGTGATCAATAGCAGTATAGGATGTATAGAGGAGCTGCAAAGCCCATAGTCAATACGCCGACCACAAGTGACGGGGAGGTCAGGGCCGAAGGGCTCATCCATGGAGTAGACGGCGCCCGAAGAGAGGAGGGCCCTAAGTGGCAACTCATCTTGGACCAACTTGAAACCACCCAAAATCGTCCACTTATTGCAAAGCAAGGATAAAGCTTGGGCGATCTCAGTGACCAGTTCCCCAGCGCTTGTTTCATTTCCGGAGGGACCATAAAAGTACAAACCACCAACTTATCGCACACACCATTGCCCAAATGGAAATCAATGACACCTGCACAAAATCTGGACGGGGAAAAAACCCCGTCACACTGTATTTGCAAGATAGGCAAACGCGAGAGAAGAGCAACTCTGTACATACTTTTCATCTCATCAAAACTGCCCAACAAACAAGTGATTCCCAGTTTTTGCCAGTCATCCACATAAGAAACATTGCTAGCAGCATTGAGGTCAAGCTCCTGCAATCCTAAAATAGAACACTCAAATTCACGAAGCAAAGCAGCCACGGCATTGTTCTTGGAGACACCTGTTCGCTGCAGGTTCAAAGTCCCCAACCAAGTCATGGGTGCTCGGGGGTGCGCTGAAACTTGCTCTCCACAATGGCACAAGCCGTTGTGAAGAGCCCATCCAAGCGCTTCTGACCCATGCCATGTTCAATGTGTTGGGCTCTGACTCGACTGCGGTCTAAAACCTTCAGTCGCTTCTTTTCACAAGCTTTCAAAGGACCAGAATGGCCAGGGCGACACTTGTGCTTTTTGAGCTTGCCCTTGCGGGGCAAAATGCACTTGCAAGCTCTGCGCATCCACATGGTCATGAGACTCAAAGCGTCTTTGCCCTTTCGTTTAAGGACGCGCGGCCACGTGAAAGTGACGACCTTGGAGAGAAGTTCAGGGCTCAACTGCAACTTTCTCTTGGCAGCTCGACAGTTCAAGTTGGTCACTCGGCGTTGCGCCCTACCAGCAGCAGAGTGCGGCTGACTCTTGCGACACTGATGCCCCAACAACAGAGTGGACACTTCCAACATGGGTCCTGACCAGGATTGGCAACAACTATGTCGCTGGGACGCTGCAAAGCACCAGCTTGTCCAACATTTCCATGATGAGACTTTACATGCGCATATCGCCTCTTGCAGACGGTATTCTGGTCAGAGGATTGGCAAACAAAAGGGCAATAGCAACATCGGAAGCACAACCAAATGTACTGGATGCCGAGCAGGTGCTCTTGCCCTCAAGCAAATCAAAATGGTTGCCACCACTATGCCACAAAACCACAGCACCACGTTTGCCCTGCTTGTGAAACAAGACAGGATCAACCGAAGGCGCGTCAGAGCAAACAATCACTTGCGCGTCAAACTTACGCGCCAGCGCCTTGACCTCAAGAGAGCTAGCAAAAGCATCCTGGGAGACCACCGCTTTCAAGTAGGAGTCAAAATTCTCAAGTTGGGTTTTCCCGTCCGGATGTTTTCCGTCCCAATCCAAACTGTACTCCTTAGCATATTTGGTCATATGCTCCACAACAATCGCCCTCAACTCCAGAGGCAGCTTGCTGACAGGAGCAGCAAGCTCCTTCAGCCCTTTAGCAAAACTATGGAAGAGGCAAGCCCCGTCCGCAGGCATCTCGTATTTCACAAAACCATGAGGGATGGAACGCGCAACAACTTTAGCCTTTTTTCCAGGGGCATCTCCACTTTCTGGCTTGGGCGTAGCCTTAGAGACTGTCACAATGCCCTGAGGAGCAAGAGCCTCGCGCACGCTGCGCACCTTGGGTATTCTGCTTGGGAGGGGCCAACTTAGCCCAATATGTGATGGAGAAGCCATCCGTCTGGACCACAAAAGGCAAGATGTCAACATCACCTTTCGTAGAAGCGCGAACATAGAAATTGCAAAGGCCACGACCGGTCTTCCTGCGACTCAAAAGTAGATATCGGAGACAGTGTTGGACACAATAGCAGCAACATTCTCCTGAGTCCATTCAGAAGGCACACGCTCAAGACACCAAACACGAGTGATGGCTGCACCCTTAGCGCGAGAAGCCCTCAAGCCCAAAGACCGAGTACCAGCAGCGATACCCATATTGGGTTGAAGACTTTTCAAGCGAGTCAACACCATCTTCGCGAGCTTGCCAAGCAGTGACCCAAGGATTACACTGAGTATCTTTGAAAGGATCAACAAACCATCCACCCTGACCAGAGGCCGTCAAAACTTGCTCAACTTGATCAACAGGGATACGAGCAATGCCAGTAAACCTGGAACGATCGCCCGAGTTGTCACGGCTCCACTTCCAAGTATCCAAGACACTACAAGCATGACCAGCAGCCCATGACGCAAAGGCCTTCTGCGGCCGTTTCTCGGCCTCAAGCCACTCGTCTTTGGTGCAGTATTCTTTGCAGATCTTGCACAAGACAACCGTAGAAGGTTTGGCAGCAACGGTCACAGCCGCAGGCAAAGACTTCGGTTGAGGGGCTGTCAGCCCTGCGCTGACAACTTGGAAAACACTGCAGTCTCGAAAGACAACCTGGTTTCCGAGCAACCCGGGAACCCTTTCAGCCCGGCGCTTCGAATCAACGCGGCCAGGGACAACCAAAAGCAAAGCACATTTGCAACCATGTCCCATCAACATATTCTCCAAGATGATCTTCTGCTCGCCATTAGGAACCATGACACGCATTCTCGAAAGGAATGATGGAGCTATCCCAATCCTGAGAACGAAGAGTCCAAACAGGAGGTGGAGGCTTCTGCTTGGCGGGCTTCCTAACCTCTGTCCACTCACTAGCTGCTGCCGGCGCCGTAGCAGTCGCAGCAGGAACAACTAAAGGTTTGGCCGAAACAGCCACACTGTGTGCAGGAACAAAAGGCTTCTTGCCCTACTTTTTGCAATTGTTCTTCTTTTCCTTCTTGCCAAGACTGCCCAACAAGGCTGAGATTCCATTGCCTGTGAAATCCTTCAACAACTTATGGACGAATGTCTGCACACACTGCTCAATGAGGGGCATCAAGATAGACATCAAATGTCCACTTCCCAACTCATCAGGCATCTCACTTCGTTTCCGTTCAGTCTTTCGAGAATCGGCGGGCCCAGGATGGTCCGCCTCCCCAAAACGTACCCCTCGCCAAGAGTCATGCAAAAGCTCCAGAGAAGGAACACTATGACAACCTGACAACTCACACCAAAAGCCCTCAGAGAACTTCGCTGCATGGATGCAAGGGCAAAACCATCCATGCCCCGCTGCTACCGAGCTCAATAATTAGTCACTCAACCGCGACCATCGAACAGGAGGTGTTCCTACAGCAGCTGAACTCAGGCTTCACTTCATCACCACCATCACCTTTGTGGACCCCAATGCGTCTGGATCTCTAGACTTTCTGCTTACAGACCTCACACACACTGTTTGGGGTCTCTTGCCGGGATAATTTTGACTTTGACTTTTGGGACTTACTTTTATTGACTGTGCTTGACTTTTAAATTTTGAAAACAGGCTCTCTCCAATGAAAGGTTTTTCTACTATAAATGTATTACCAAGTTACCAAGTTCCTCGCGAATCCGCGCACATCAGTTATTCAAAGGATTTCAAAGGTCACTAGGTCTCACTACGACCGTGAGTTTGCTCAAGCACTTTTCAGCGGAACAAACATATTGTTTCCTTTGCCTTCTTGGTCTTCTTTTTCTTCTCCTCCTTCTCCTTTTCTTCATCGACCTCCTCAATCTTTGGCTCGTCACCCTCCTCCTTCTTCTCCTCTTCACCTTCATCCTCGCTGTCTGTGACCTCCTTCTCCTTGCTCTTCTCCACATACAGCTCAATCGGGAAGCCAATGAACTCGGAGTGCTTCTTCACCAAGTCCTTCAAGCGGCGCTCCTCCAAGAACTCAGACTGGTCCTCCTTGAGGTAGCAAATGATCTTCGTGCCACGTTTGATTTCGCCATGGACGAGCTCAGTGTCTTTCTGCACAGTGAAAGATCCACCCGCTCCAGACTCCCAAATATACCTGGATCGGGTGCGATTTGAACAACGAAGTCCACAGCATTCAATTGACACGCAAAAGTTACACAGTGGGCTCACCAAATTTGCCTCCTCAGCCTAACTACGAGCATCCAACAAACGGATAACAAGCACTCACAGGGGGCTCAAGGGGCAACAATCTACACTGGATGGTTGACCATGGTTTCTGAGCAAACTATCCTGACATCAGGCTTAAATTAGGAGGAAGGCCCTGAACCCATTCCAGCAAACCCAGTCGAGGCTTGAGAAAAGAACAATCAAATCAGGTCTATCCTGAAGGATCCTGAAAGGTTTTCGGGTTTGACTCGTTTTGACCTGATTTCATTGTGTTTTGTTAGCCTCAAAAGAATATTTGGCGTTGGAAGATCTAGGTACTGCTCATCATCATTGTGCTTGCTGACAACACGAACCTTGTCCGACACAAGGTAGGCACTGTAGAAGCCGACGCCGAACTGGCCAATCATGGAGATGTCACCGCCAGCGGCCATGGCTTCCATGAAAGCCTTAGTGCCTGACTTGGCAATGGTGCCCAGGTTGTTGATGAGTTCATTCTTGGTCATGCCGATGCCAGAGTCCTCGATGGTCAAAGTCGAGTTGGTCTTGTCCGGCACAATCTTGATGAAAAAGTTTGGCTGGGCCTCACAAACTAAAGGCCATGACGGCACAGAAAGAAACTCAACAAGCAACAAAGTTGAATTAAAAGGAGTTTCAAGAGGCAAATTATTAGGAATCGGCGGAATCGGTTTGAATGTCAGGGAATCCAAAGGGACAAGTCACAAGTTGAAATTGAAAGGAAGCTCAAGGAAAAACTAGCCGTTTCTAATCCAAACAAAAATCCCACACGGCAAAGAAAAACATGCGCGTGGAAACTCCATGGCCACAGCTGTTTGAAGTCACCCTCGAAACTTGTCATCATTGTGGCAAAACAAACCTATGGTTGTGACGACGGATGGAATCCCATGGCCACAGCCTACCTTTGGACATGTCCACGGTAGAATAAATAGCGGTACATTGGGGTCCTGTGCGAGGCCTTCGCAAAGGTCCGCGAGACCTTCGCGACAGACCGGACAATACATCTACCGATGCATGTTTTGGGAGACCTTCAACCCGGTAGGGCAGCATGCTGTAGAAGCTGTTGGGTGTTTGAGTTGTCAAAAATGCCCGAAATCGTACTTCGGCGCGCCTCGATCTTGTCCGGGTCGGTAATGGACTCGTAACGGATCTTGTCCAAGGCATCGGACGCATTGGAGATCAACTCTCGAAGGAAAATCTCCTTGTTGGAATAGAACCTGGGCATCAAGTGCGGCCCTATAAAACGAATCCGCAAAAAAATATAACACAGCAAAGCATGAAAAAAATGAAACCATCTGAAATCATGACTAACCTGCAAAAGGTCATAATCCGCAACCCTGGCGATCTGTGAACCGGCGTAGTCCGCAATGCGTTTCAGGACTCCACATACCCTCACATTTGAACCAGGTTGAGTTAAGAGTCCAAGCATGGCCAAGCCGTCATGCACCATTAACGCGGAGAGTTGACGCTGTGGCTTGGGATCGGCTATCGAGAACCCCCAACCTCCTCGAACTCACTAGTTTCGACACTCTGCTTCCTTTTCGGGGTTCTGCTTCAGGCTTAAAAAAAATGAATACACCAAACCCCAGAATGCACTGAGCAGTTGAGGGTCGAGGGTGGTGAAAGTTGTTTCGGCTAGCGGCTAGGGGCTCTGGTTTGTGCACAACTGTTCGACTGCTCCCCGAACATACTAGTTCCCAGCAGTTCCGGACTTCTCTGCCCGGACATGAAACCCGAGAACATGTCAAAATATATCGCCGGGCAATCCAAAAGCTTCAATGGTTCACGATTGATTACGTTTGATGCCGCCAAAGCAATCCAAAGGACGTGTTGATAATCAAACTCATCAACTGCTGGATGTCAGCATTGAAGGCGAAGGTCTCTGCCATGGCTGGGAGAGGCTCTCTACGAATTGGCGACTCAAAACTTGGAGCTGAAAACAGACTCTGTGTAGGACAAAAAGGCTCACCATGATCCGAACGGGAGTCTAAAATGCGCTGTGAGAAGACTCAACTCAAAACGGTCTTCTCCTTGGCTGTTCATGTGACTGGCGGTTCTTCAGAACGGGAATCTGTGTCCGGTTGTGTGAGTGCGTGTGTGTGTCCATGAATACCATAAACAGTCATTCCTCCGTCCATCTAAGGCCATCCATGAGATGGATGATACTTTTAGGATCTTTATGGATCTTTTAGGTATAAACACCTGCACTCACGTTTCCCAACACACTAGACAGCGGTTTGAGGACAACGCCTCATGGCCATCTGTCACGAGGCATCAAGCTTGCTGCGCTTGATAGCTTCCCCTTTTAACTGTGGGCAACGTGACATGACAATCTTGTTTCTTCAAGATCTCAGGACATGTACTGCCTTACATTCACCAGCTTCACTGCCTTCCCACTCAGGTCGAAGCAAAGCAGCCGCCACAAGCCTTGGAGGCAAGACTTCGCAAGATGCAAAGGGCTAAGGGAGGTCAGATCCACGAAATTGACATACGAGAAACCTCCAAGATCCTCCTCCTAAGTGTTGGTCCCATTCATGATGATACAAGCGGATATATGTCTTGCAACCTTCGCTCCCAAGTCTGCCAAGTCTGCCGAGTTCCTGGCACCGGCAGCATGCAAAAAATGGCTTGCAAATGTGTATCGAAGTTGGATGCGAGGATCTGAGGAATGATCAAAATGTAACGCCTAAACAACATCATTTCGCTGAGTGCCACGCCTGCTAGCCTATGCCCAATAACCCTAGACACCTAGACATCCTAAACATCTCAAAATGTCATGTTGCGTCAAGAGATGTCAAGAGTCAGCCAAGCAGCTACTGTGTTCCTCACTCGGTCTGCAATGAGCCAAATACATAAGGAAACAAACACCCAGGGCCAACATTCTACTTGAAGCGCAACGACAAAGTCGTCAAAACCAGCATTGCAGTATATTGTTGCCATTCTTTGCTTTGATTGAGTCATGCTCCGACCGCTTGGCATTGCTTCCCCAATTACTTGAGTCACTGAGCCATGCCTTCTCTGCTTGTGAACAACAGTGAAGTAAGCATGAAGATTAAACATGTTTATAAAAATACATAAAAATCAAAGGTGGTCGTCTGTCAAGTCAATTCCTCCTGTGCCACTGCTATTTTTCTCGCCTGTTTCGCACCATGCCTGGTCACGTGCCCGCCCACAATTAGTACAAGTGGCACAAGTCTTGGACTTGCGTCTCCGGTTGCATTGGCCATTCTTGGTTTCCAAGATTGCAATTCCGGGCGTGGCATCGCCGTACCGTGCAAGCACGCCACGCACAAAAACGTGGTGTTGGAACCACCACGGGCACACCCCGGCGCTAGAGCGCCCCCGCCAGGGGTGTTCATCAAAACCCGTTTTGGGCGTCGTTCGGTTTCGGTCGCACTGTTTAACAGAGCTCCTGCGACGCCGAAGTCTGTCTGTGCTCAGGTGCTCCTTGTGAGCCTAAACCTCTTCCTCATGGCTATCCAGCTGTCGCACATATCCGCCATGGCCTTGGAAGTCCCGGCAGCGAGTGTGGCCAACGCTTGGCAAACATAACATTCTCCACAAATAACAACATCTGATAAACGGCAAGACATGAGAGTTGGCACCCCATTCCTCAAAACATCATCAGGGATCATCACAACCCTAATCACAACTGAACCCATGGGGCCACCGTCGTCGAACCCTGCTCTCATCGGATGCCAGGCTTTCATGGCTGTCGCGCTTCTCCGTCTCGAGCGGAGGCAGCTCTCGATCTTGCGGCATCCTGACGCCATCTCAGCGGGTCCACTGAGGAGAACCAGCTCCAGTGGAGTTCACACCAAAGAAGGTCATTTCCAAGGTCCGGCATCACCAATGGCCAGGACCGTGTGGGGGTCCATAATTCCATGGGGGGCCATAATAGGATGGGCCGGCAGCTTGTGAACATCTCAGTCTTCTCGAAAGATCCAGGTGTTTAGTGTCTGTGAACTTGCTAGTTTGCTTGCACTGTTCATGGCCTGTGGCCTGCGGTGCATGGTGCCATCACCAGATTTTGTGTGACCGATTTTGCAATTTGTTCAGTACGAGTACTAGGAGCACCATCCAGACTCACTGGTAGCAGGGAAGCATATTGCAAACATCGACGAACACCTGCATGTCCTCTGTCCCTGGATCTCTTCCGGGCTCGCTCCTGGGAACTGGAGGGCTCACCGCTGGGGGTGGCAAAGGCCTTACGGGCAGCAAAGGCCAAGAGATCTTGACAGCAGCACACAAATGCATGGGTGTCGGGGAGGAGAAATGTCGAAGACTTCTATTGCCGTACGTTTTAAGATGTTTTGATTGCATTCCCCGCGTTCTCCCTTTTCTATTAGTCATGTGTCTTTTTCGGACATGATCCCCAAAGGCATCAAGACATGGCATTTCCCAGAAGTGTGGGTGCAGTCGGTGCAATCTATTCACAAAAGAAACGGGGTCATTGTCGTGACTTTGGCTCCGATTTCCGGGCTTAATAATCTCTGTCTTCCCCACACAGATTAGCTCAGCATGCCAAGGGTATCTTCTGCAGCACAGGGTGTTCAAAGCATGTCATGTCTGAATTTCACGTACATGCTGCATGCAGGTATCTCCGATGTACCACCTGCAATGACCTTTTTGTGATCATAGGTCAAGATTTAGAAAGCCTTCAGACTCCAGGGGAAGAGTCTGATCGCTCCTGGGGCACGACGGTACTCAGCTGTCATCCTTCCGAAAGCAAGACATTTCAGCCCAAGGGGCACCGAAGGATCCACTCTCACACCTGGGCGCTTCGAGTGGTATGTTCACGAAAAGAATGGGAGGGTTTGCGGTGAGTTTGGATTCTTCTGATCAGAAGACGTTTCCATGAAATGAAACCAGCTTCCTGGGCATTCCTGAGCTCCAAAATTCCTGAGATCCAAACTTGTGTCCACCTCAGTTCTCACCTGCCACAGCTGCTGCAAGAAACGCTTGGTGGTCTTCAATCAACAGCTCGTTTGGCCGATGATGATACGAGATATCCTAGCCCACAAGAAATCGCAGACCCGGACCCCATTAATTCAAGCAAACCAGCATCACCTATCACCTAGTCTAGCCATATCTACCCAAAATAACACCGTTTCGTCTTTGATTGCTGCTCCCGTCACATTCTCAGGTCCTTCTCAGCTCATTCTCAGGTGCCTCTGGCTCCTTTGGCGGAGGTGGAAACACCTTCTCTCCTTGGAGGTCGAGAGATGAGCGGCTGGCTGGCGGCTTTGTCCGCGAAACGTGGCATGAAGAGCACTGTAAGCTCCAATGTTGACAGTTCATTAATAGAAGACCCAAGCTGGGGATCGTCAACCATCTGGATAACATGTGCTCCGTTTGAAGGAAGAAACCACCACCGAAGTCCCGTTCCACCGAAGACCCCATACAAGTAACACCACAAACCAACCCCAGAGGCCCAAAGACCCACCCAAAAGGAAAAAGGTATAGGCTATCATCAGCACCACGACCTTTCCTCCCAACAAGTCATCTCCAAGCGTCGAAGCCGAGCGGTGGCTCGCTTCAAGGGCATGCACGAATCCGAGGTGGGGCCACACACCTCACAACTGACGAGACCCCCCATGGGTGCTTTTGGACCCATGGTCTGGTGAGAAAAAACCGAAGACTCAGCAGTGCAGTTGGCTCACCGAGTCGATGTAGTACTCTCATCGATCACCCGATGTCCACCTCTTGTTCCTTCACAATGAGCACACACACAAACACTGCTGGGTCCCCCGTGCCATCAGGAAAGCCGGGAGAAAAAGCAACGAGTGCCTTGACCAGCTGGGGTAGCACACTTGCTGCAATGTTGGTTCATATGTCCTCACTTGATACTTGATACATCTTGATATCATAGCTTGAAGATGCTTCAAGACGTTTAAAGGCTCGCAATAAGTGTCTTCCTCCTTTCTTGGGAAATCAACAACTCTCCGCCAGCCTTAGTACCGACGGCTCTTGATGAGGCCGGGGTTGGGAGTCCGAGCTGCGAAAGGACCGAGCCCTACCCTCCAGCTCGTTCCCGTGCAACTGGAGCGTGTAGACACACATATGGCAGAGACGAAGAGAGGCATGTGTTGTATGCTCCAACATATGCCACCGGCCTCTGCCGCCTCTGCCGTCGGTCTAGGGCGCCCAGCAAGAGTGACAACATGGTCACTGACAGGATCACTCCACCAAACCTCGGTTTCGACGCACGGTGGCACGGATGATCCACAAAGGAGTAACAGTTCGCGTGTCGAAGAAACCGAAAGAAGCATCTACCTTAGGCTTCGATAGCTCTTGGGGGGTGAAGCACTCGTTTGTAATCGCCGTATGCTTAAGAGTATATATGATCCCTCCTTTCCCAGCAATTTCAGTTGAACTTCTGGGATGCATCACTGGGTGCATACGAGACGGCCGTCTCCTCCGAGGTCTCGGCTTCACGAAGAACTGCAGGATGCAGCACAAGAGGAAGACCGCCGAGGCCGTGGTCGTCCCCGCCTCGGTCGACCCCGCATGGACATGAGGAGGTTCTCGGAAAGGGCGGCAGTTGGGGGTTGCTGGCCTAGCATGACAGGAAGGATTCGCGACTTCTTTGATCTTCTTTGTCAAGGCCCTGTGATCTCCTCAGCTGGAACGGACACATCATGTACAGATATGGTTGGCAAAATTCGTCCTTTTCCTCCAAGTGCCTGATCTAAGCAGATCTCTTCCAGGTCGCTCTGGACTTTCTCAATCTTTATTTTCTTGGCGTTCTCCCACGGTTTTGACATGTACTTGCGCAGGTCAGTTTATTTTGCAGTTTGGTGACAGGTGCAAAAGCAACCCGGCACTAACTCGAAAACCCACGGGCACTCCGTGTGCAACTATGACCACATGTTCTGGTAGTCATTCTGCCAGGCAGAAGTTCTTGTGATGTTCCTCCTAAACTTCCAAAGAAAACGTACTGGGTTGTGATTCTAAAAATCATCACCTCAAGACATGCTCGCACGGCTGGGTAAAGGATTCTTAACATCTTGAGGTGAACTCGGTGGGCAGGCTCCTAACTTTTAAAACACACAGTGTTCCAAATCTGCTACGGCTACGTCCTAGTCACAATCCGTAATAAGAAATGCTACGTCCTATGGTTCAATCTGTCCGTGAACATCCGTGAACCATGTTGAGGCGGGCCCACGTGGGCGTGCAAAGCTTTAAGACGAAAGATCCCAAAAGGGTTGCCCATGT